CGTAATGAGATTTTAAAAAAAGCAATTTACAGCTTGAAATCTCTACTTTTCAAATTAATACTTGAGAAAACGACTAACTGAGTTTCTTCGGAGCCGCACAGATACAAATAGAGGTGTGACAAATCGCAAAATATTTTTCTAACTTTACAAAGCTTCAAAGGCCCGAAATAAAAATCGCACACAAACGCGGTGTTTAGCTTTGGAAAGAATGAATCTTTCTCTTTAATTTGCTTTTTTGTTGAACGTCGTACGATTTTTTTTCACCGAGTTATTCAACATTGAAGCAAAAATGACCCTTTTTGCTTCAATATTGAATAACTCGGTGAAAAAAAATCGTACGACGCTCAACAAAAAAGCAAATTAAAGAGAAAGATTCATTCTTTCCAAAGCTGTACATCGCGTTTGTGTGCGATTTTTATTCCACGTCCTGGAGCTTTGCAAAGTTTGGGAAAAATTTTGCAATTGGTTACACCTCTATTTGTATCTGTGCGGCTCCGAAGAAACTCAGTTAGTCGTTTTCTCAAGTATCAATTTGAAAAGTAGAGATTTCAAGCTGTAAATTGCTTTTTCTCGTTATGACCATTTTTGACGAAGTTGCTCTATCTTGAAATTTTTTTTCATCGATTTTTTTTGTCAAGTTATTCAACATTGAAGCAAAAATGCTCTTTTTAAAAAGTAATTAAATGATTAAAAGGACTAAATTCAAAATTTATGTACAGTGGCGGACAAGAGTAAGTTTAAAAGATAAATGAAAAACATCATTTTTGTGGGAAAACGGAATTTTATTTTAAAACATAAATGATTATTTTACATAAGTATTACATAAGTATTTGTATTTTATAAAATATTGAAAATAAATATAACAGATGTACAAATATAACACAATGAACAGAATATAAGGACATAGAAAGTTTATAGTTTTTTTTTAATTGGAACAAATAAGAAAACTAGCTGAACAAAAGTAAGTTTAATTATATATTTTTGTTATTATCATCACATCTTGTTAATTTTAATATTTTGTAGTACTTCCTTTGCTTTCTAATGCTGCTTGTAGTCTTTTTGGTATACTTTTAATTAAATTCTCTAATATGTTTATTGGAAGATTATACCATTTTTGTTGTAATGCTTTCCAAAATGATTCTCTGTTAGTACGACTACTTAAAGGGATATGTGCATCTAGAATCGTCCAGAGATTCTCTATAGGGTTGAGATCTGGCGACTGGGGTGGCCATTCGAGTTTTTCAATTTTTTTTTATCAAAAAATTTGGATACTATTTTAGAAGTGTGCTTAGGGTTATTATCCTGTTGAAAGATAAACGACCCCAAACACATTTTTTCTGCTGATTGTAATAAATTATTATTTAAAATATTACAATAGTCAAAACCAGTCATTCTCCCATCGATTTTAACCAATTTTCCAACACCATTTTTAAAGAAACAGCCCCAAAGCATAATCGAACCACCACCATGCTTCATAGTCGATTGAACATTTTGCTTTTTTAGACGATCTGATGACTTACACCATACCCTTTTTCTTTTCTTTTCGTTCAGCAACTCAAATTTAGATTCGTCCGACCATATAATATGTTCCCAAAATGATAAGGGCTTAGTGATATACTGCTTAGCAAATAATAGACGTTTTTTTTTATTTTTAGCGCTAATCAAAGGTTTCTTTCTTGCTACGTAAATTTTTAATCCATTTAATCTCCTCCTGACCGTTCTTTCGTGTATGTGAAGTTAAATTTTTTTTGATGGCTCGAGCTGATGTAGCGGAATTCTTCTTTACTTCTCGAATTATCATTCTGTCATCTCTCGTCGATGTTTTCCTTGGTCTGCCACATTTTATTAAATTATTTACAGTGCCATATTTGTCGTATTTGTCACAAATTTTCTTCGCTCCCATTATGGAAATTTCGTACCTTTTTGAAATTTCTTTGAATTCTAGGCCATTTTTTCTAGCCTTAACTATCATTTGTCTGACATCGACGGACTTTCTTCTATTACTCCCATTCATTTATGTAGGTAATTAAGATTATAAAAATTAACAAGTTAGAAACATGTATGGGAAGAGAAAAATCGATAAATTTTTAGCAGTTTTTTAATAAAATTTGTATTTTAAACTTACTTTTGTTCGCCGGAAATTTCGAACAAAATAGATCGTTAATGAACAATGCAAGAACAGTGAAATTAACGAACGAAATACGTCGTTTAAAGTGGCGAGTTGCCGCAAAATAATTCAGTGT